GCGCGGTCCGTCGCCGCACGCTCGCTGGGACCTCGGAGGCCCCCGGAGGCCCCGGTCGCCCGAGACAAACTAGAAGAAGAAGAAGAAGAAAAATAATAGAAGAAGAAGAAGAAGAGGAACAAAAAAAAAAAAACACCATAAACATAAACTTTTGGCGCTCCGAGCGGACTTCTTGGATCTGCGCTGGACCCCCCCTTCCTGGCGCGCGGAGCGCGCCAGGGGCGGCGCCAGACGCGCCGCCGGGGGGGGCCAGGCGCCGAGCCGATCCAAGAAATCCGCGCGGAACACCAAAAGTTTATGTTTATGGCGATTTTGTTGTTCTTCTTTGAGAGACGTGATCGGAGATCGACCCGAGTTCCAAGCCGTGCGGTGATCCCGAATCCCCACTAACTCACCACGCGGTGCGATCATCACACCGTTTGGGGGCCCCCGAACCCAGCTCAGAGGGGAGACACATCGACCTGGAATCGGCGGTACATCGCCGATGGATCGGCGATGTGCCTCCGATAGCGAGACCGCATGGTCCTGAGCGGGGTGGGCTGTCGGGCACCTATCGGTGATGAATGGGCGATTGGGGGTCGATGCATCTCCCCCGCTCCCGTAACGTTGCCCCTGAGCACCAGCCGAAGGCGCGGCCGCTGCATCATCAGCTCCCGCAGCAGGATCAGCAAGAAGTCTGTGAGCATGTCCCTCTCGTGCACCTGCGGGCCCCAGATCTCCAGGCTTTTGCTCTCGCCGAACAACTAACGTAAAGCAAACATAAGCTTAGCTTGATCGCCGCTCTCGGCCACTGGGAGCCCTCACCAGGCCCCAGGACGGTCAGCAGAAGTACCGAGTACCGAGGATCAGAAGCCCGCCCTGGGGAGAGGGTCGTCCACACTGTGGAAGAATAACCAAAAAAAGGGCGTCGAGGACGCAGATATCCGATGGCCGAACGCAGCCAAACACCTCCCGTCGTGCATTTCTGACGACCTATCAGACCACCCCAACCCAACCGGAAGACCCGAATTCCGCCCGAATCTCGGGTTGGGGGGGTACCGGCTGCACACATGTTTGCTCAATGTTCCCCGCCCCCCCCCCTCACTGGAAATGCAGTCGGCCTTGATTGGACGGGACACGCGAGAGGACACAAGACCCTACCCCTTCCGAGGGCCACGTCGCCACAGGAGCGCGAGAGGGCACGTGCCGCGAGGCACAGGACACGAGGGTACCCCTGAGCAGGCAGGGTCGGCCTGCCAGTCCGGGCCGACTGTGGAGGGCAACTCGGGGCCTTCGAGATGGGCTGGGGGGGTATGGTGGGCCGTGAACTTCATGAAGGGGCCCCAGGACACACAAATAAAGGCACACAAATAAAAGGACTCCCCCCATTTTCCCAGATCTTCGGGGTTTTCGTCTTCCCCCCCGCTTCCCACAGGTTCCCATCTTTTCCTGGGAGTGGACGACGAATTGTGTCTCTGTGTGTTTTTTCCCCTCCTGACTTCCTCGCGGCGCGACGGTGCCTGGGGTCCAGACGCGGCGCCCGCTCTCCGCCGCCTGCCTCCCGGCGGGGCTCCGGGCGCACAGTGTAGGCAGCCCCCCCCCCCACGCAGGCCTTGGCGGGCCTCGGCGGGCCCCCCTTGAAGCGGTCTGGGGCGGCCCGGGGCTCGACCCAGACCGTGCTGCTCGTCTCCGTGCTGTCTCCGTGCTCCCCCTCTCCCCTTGGTGGTCTCCAAACCAGGTGGTGAGACACCCGGTGGTGACCCCGATTTCCCCCCCCAAAAAAATCTGGGTCACCACCGGGTTTGGGGACACGCGGTCGCCACGAGGTGTTGCGCTTCCTGGGCCAGCCAGCGCTCGAAAACCATTACCCAGATCGCCCAAAACTCACCACCGGGTGTTCTCACCACCACGTTTGGGGACCACCAATCTCCGTCCCGAACTCGCCCCTGCTGCAAAACGGCACCGGAGCGAAGACGGACCGCGAAATCGCAACAAAAAAAAAACGCTTGCGCAGCAGAGGGAAGAGAACTGCGCACATGCACCGACTCTGGCAAGGACCATCCTGAGCCCAGGATCGGTGCGTATGCCCTCTTACCTTGGCCAGGAAGGTATATGCACCGATCCTGGGTCAAGGATGGGCGTTGTCAGGATCGGTGCATGTGCATAGTTCTCTTCGCCCGACGTAGGTCCACCCCTGGGGCAGTCTCTCGGGCTGGGCGAAAGGGGGGGGATGGCAAAGGGGGGGTTCGAGAATCACCTCACGCAGCTGATTTCCCCGGCGCCTCCCGGCGCCTCCCGGCGCCGGGAGACGCCCGTTGTATCGAGGAATGTGCCCGGCGGCGGGGCCGAAAGCAGCTGCACGCAGCAGAGTTCGTAAACCCCCTTTCCCTATCCCCCTCTCAGGCGCCTGGCGCGAAGAGGACGCACGTAGAGGACGAGACTCGCCTGAGAGACGCACGAGGAGGACGCACGCAGAGGAGAGACGCACAGTCAGCCCGTAGAAGAAGGACGCACGAAGAGGACGCAGGGACGCCTCGAGCACCTCAAACCCCCCTTTCCCTATCCCCCCCTTTCGTTCGGCCCGAGCCTCAGCACCTCAAGCCTGGAGCACCAGGCGCCCCCAGGGGCGCCTGGCGGAGGCGGCGCCACCGCCGCCCCCGGACCGCTCGGAGGCCTGTGGAGGCCAGCGGAGGCTGCTCTCGGGTCGGGCATGTCCTCCTACAGGCGGATTTTGGGAAGAAAGCGAGGCATAGCCAAGCAAGATTCAGGACCAGCCAAGAGTAACCGAAAAATCGTCCCCTGAGTACATTTGTAAACGATTATTGAACATTCCTCCAATGGAGGGACATAACAGACTTAAGACTACTCGGGAGGGGGCCTGTCGAGGCCAGCTGGCTCTACCGGGGGAGGGCTCTGTGCGCAACACGAAGCCTCACCATTCCCGCCCCCATATCCGCGGACGATGTGTCTGCTCCGTACCGTGTTGGCGTCTCCCGAGGCCTTGTCGATATTCGACCCAGCCATGGTACGGTGCATAGCTTATCGGCCCTTAGGGCCAAAATTCCGTGCACAGTACGGCGTTGGAGCGAGGCCTGACAGGAGTTCAACATGAAACGGTGCACAAGCGCCGTTCTCGTACCATACCTCCAGCGTCTCGGCAAGAGCCCGAGAGGGGCCGTCAACGATTAAGCCATCCCCAGAATGCCCTGGGCGAGGAAGGCGAGGCTGCTGGAACGCCCCTGGGGGCTGGAAAGCCTCTGGAGGCTGGAAAGCCTCTGGGGCACGGAACGGGCAGAAAACTTTGGACGTCGAGCCCAGACCCCCGTCGCCGCGTCTTCTTCACAACGTCGACACCCAGAGGTCCGGGCCCTCTTCCCAGCACTGCTTTGTCGTCCAGAAGCGTTTTCCGACGGCCCCGAGGCCCAAGAGGCCCGGTATGCAAGGGCCCCCCGAGGCCGAACATAACGAGAAACCTCCCGTCGCCTTTTTTTTGCTCAACGCGAGGGGGTATGGGAGCCTTGAACCTCGCACCTCGACTGGCCCTCATCGGCGGCGAGCGGAAGCCCGAGGGGGAAACGAGGAGGAGGCCGTATCAGAAGGCTTCTGAGACGTCTTTGGGGCCTTCCCCGAAAACAGAACAAAAACTTCTCGGCAGGCGCGAGGCCTTTTGAGAGGTCCCGCGGCCTTCTGAGAAGGCCTTCTTCTTCTCGCTGCCCCCCCTTTGAGCAGGGACCGACCGTCCCGGCACTCCTATAGCCCTACCACGATCTGTTCTTAGAATCCGAAAATGTTCTAAGAACAAAACAATGCTCTTAGAACAGAAACCCGATCTGCTAAAATGGGACAGTCCCAGCCAGAAATGCTCTAAGAGCATTTCGTGGGAACCTCCAAAGGTTCTTGGAACATTGCTTGGTAGGGCTGCAGGCGAGCCAGGACGCTTCGCCACTGCTTGAGTGGAACCCCCCTGGCGGCGCCAGCCCAAAGGAGGGCCAATGCCCACCCAGGATGTATCACGCGTGGACCTACGAACGCAAAAAACCGGCGGGGGGCAACTCCTGGAGGGCTCTCGTGAGAACGAGTGCGAAAGATGAAGCCCGACTGGGGCAAGCGAAAGGCGACTCGGCCGAACTGGGCAACGTTCTCAGCAGGCACGAGGCCTTCTGAGAGGTCCCGCGGCCTCCTGAGAATGAAGGGGCCCCAGGACACACAAATAAATACACACAAATCAAAATATCCCCCATATTTTCCTATACTTTCTGGGTTTGTGTCTTCCCCCCCCCACTTCCCATAGGTTCCCATCTTTTCCTGGGAATCAACGATGAATTGTGTCTGTGTGTTTTTCTCCCCTCCTGAGAGAAGGCCCTCTCCCTCTCGCTGCTCCCCCCCCCGCTCGCCGCCGCCCTCCTCCCGCGCCGGCCGCTCCCCTCGAGCGCCCGGCGGGCGGCGGCGCCTCGTCCACCACCACGACGTCGTAGCGCTGCAGCAGCGGGTCGCTCACCGCGCGGCGCAGCAGCGTGCCCACGGTGACGAACTCCACGGAGCCGCTGCTGAGCTTGGGGCGGACGGCGCTGCCTGGAGGGGAACAGTCGCAGGCCGCGAGATGTGAAGTCGGGCCCGTCTCCTCCTGCAGGGGAATGTTGGGCGAAAAGTGAAAGATACTCAACAACGGGCACCAAACATGTTGAAAAACAGTCAAAAAATAGTCCCCTCACTATTTTTCTTCCATTTTAGAATATCCCCCCCGTAGAGGGACGGGCCCGACTTAACACGAGATCTTGGCATGCCGTCTGCGCAGGGCGTTTGCCCCCACTCTCGGGCCCCGGGACCACCACAGCTCGATCCGGCGCGAAAGATGCAGCAGAGAGATGGGGTCCAGGGCTCTGGTCGTGATTGTCGCGATCTGCACGCTTGGCAGCGTCGGATGTCCGGGTGCAGCAGGTTCGTACCGCGACGGCCCTGGCACTGTCTTCTCGGGTCGGGCGAAAGGGGGGGATAGCAAAGGGGGGGCTTGAGAATCAGCTCGACGTAGCTGATTTTCCCGGCGCCTCCCAGCGCCGGAGGCGGCTATGTATCGAGGAAGGGGCCCCTCGGCAAAGCCGAAAACAGCTGCATGCAGCAAATTTCGTAACCCCCCCGTTCCCAATCCCCCCCTTTCGTCCTGCCCGATCTTCTGGCACCGCGCGGCTCGATCGCCACATCGCTCCGGATTGGCCGATCCCTGCGCCATTCGCGGTTTCAACCTCGAGCGTCCGCGGCGGGGTCGCCGCCGCGTCGGCACGACGCGAACCTAGTGGAAAGCATGCAGCAGGAGCTCGAGCACCAGAGACCTTCCGCAAGAAACCCAGCCCTGAGACCCCGGACGTCCATCGATTCTTTTGGTGTGGGCACGTCACGCTCCCCACAGCAGAACCATCGAAACCCAAGGAATGACGAACGAACAACACACACCCATTCCCATAGGTGGGACCGAGGGGGCTATGGGTGCGTGTTGTCGGATGGGGGTCCCCGCTCGAAAGGAAGCACACCCCAGGATCCGACAACCCGCACCCATACCCATAGCCAGTCCTCCTCCCAACATTCCGCCTATGGGTATGGGTGTGTATGTGTTGCTCGTTCGTCAAGAAGTCCAGGGCGCCCTGCCTGCCTCCAGCTTCTTGGCATGGGCTTCCACTGCAGCGGTTTCAACATTGAGCGCCCGCAGCGGGGTCGCCGCCGCGTCGGCGCGACGAACCTGCCGAAAAGCGTACAGTCGAGGCGTTGACCTAAGGAACCCCAAGTAAGGAACGAGGCCCCTTTTTTCGTAAGTTATACTTTGACTTCCCTTCGAAAACAGAAGGGAAACCTTAGACAATGTATGGAACAACTAAGGAATATCGAGCCCCTCCCCAACGAAAAGGGTTCCTTCTTCAGCGCCCCGACTGTACGGTTGCGGAGGTCCGCGCGGATTGTTCTTCGGTCGGCAGGGACCGACCGTCCCGGCATTCCTATAGGCCTACCGCGAAATGTTCTTAGAACCCGAACATGTTCTAAGAACAACAACAATGTTCTTAGAACAGAACACCCATGTGTCAAAACAAGACAGTCCCAGCCAGAAATGTTCAAAGAACATTTCGTGCAGACCACATCTTAGAACCTTCTTTGGTGGGCCTATAGGCGAGCCAGGACGCGTCGCCACTGCTTGAGTGGAGCCCCCCCTGGCGGCGCCAGCCCAAAGGGGGGCCCAATGCCCACCCAGGATTTATCACGCGTGGACCTACGAACGCAAAAAACCGGCGGGGGGCAACTCCTGGAGTCGTAAGAACGAGTGCAAAAGATGAAGCCCGACTGGGGCAAAGCTGAAGGCGACTCGGCCGAACTGGGCAACGTTCAACCAGGCTGGGTCGAATTAGACGGGACAGGACGGGGTTCAGCGCGGCGAGGCAGCATCTGGCCAGCCTTCGACCACGGGCATACCAGCGCCGATGCTGAATTGAGCCGCCCAGGAGTTGCCTCCTCGTGAACGCATGTGCTCTTCTCGGAGGAGGGCAACGTGAGACAACGGCCGTGAGACAATGGTGGCCAAATCGGCTCAAAATCGGTCCCCGGACCCCTCCCGGGGTCCAGACGCACCGATTTTTCACGCTGCGTCCAGCCGTGAGGACGAGGAGGCCCCTCGGAGGCGAAAAAGGCAAAAACGTCACCCTCGTCTCACCCTGCCCTCCTCTGATCTTCTTACTCTCCGGCCGCCGTACACGGCGTAGCCCACGGACTCCCCGATCTGCTCGCCGCGCTCCTCCGGGCACGGGCGACGCGGGGCGACCGGCTGCCACGGGGGGAAAGCGTCGGCCCGGCGCTGGGAACCCGACCCCTTCGCGCCGTGGCAGAACGACAGACGGTGCCTGCCAGTTTTGAACCTCGGGGAGCCCTCGCCCGGCCCCGGGGCGGTCCAGCAACCGTTCGGGCCGGTCCGAGGGAAGGGGCCCAGACCTCCAGAGTCGTCGCCGCGAGGGAAGTCCGACATCGGCGTTTCGGGGACGCACCGTCGGTACCTCGGCATCAGGAGCAAGACGCCCCCAGACAAGGCGAGGCATTCGGGCGCCGATCGGCGATGTTCAGGCACACTCTAACGTGGATTGCGGATCCGTGGATCTGGCGCGCGAGCGCCAGATCCACGTTTGAAAGTGACGCGTTGGAGAAGGCGGGTTGCGACGGCCCTAATGCAATATATCCCTTTGTGAATATATACACATGTACATACATACATGCATCCATTCATGCATACAAACATAATCATATACATGCATGCATGCATACACCGTCATACATACATACAGACATACATGAATGCGTGCATACATACATACATACATACATGCATACATACATACATACATACATACATACATATATACATACATACATACATACATGCATGCATACATACATACATACATACATACAAACAAACGTACATGCATGCATACATGTATGCATACATACATGCATACATGCATGCATGCATGCATGTATACATTCATACATACATGTATACATACATACATATATACATACATACATACATACATACATACATACATACATACATACATACATACATACATACATACATACATACATACATACATAAATACATACATACACACATACATGCATGCATGCATGCATACATACATACATACATACATACATATATATACATACATACATACATACGGACGTACAGATATGCATGCATGCGTGCATGCATACATTACATGCATGCGTGCATACATAGATACATACACACGTGTATACAGGCGTGTACCTATAAATGTATATGCATACACACATACATAAATACAGGAATGTATGCACGCACGCATGCATGCATACGTGCATGCATACATACATGTATACATACATACATACACACATGCATGCATTTGTAGATTAAAACACCTACACACACATATAACTATACATGTGCCAGTGTACCATGTATACCTTGCCACTTGCTGGCCTCCACCACCAAGGCGACGGTGGACGATAGGTGGGGCGCAGAACTTATCCAGCGAGCAGTGGCAGCGCCCTCGAACTCTTAGGTGGACGACCACACATGTGCGAAACGCATTCCCAGCGCGCAGATCAACCACGCACAACTGCAACATGCGACTTGCCAGATTCCTGGCCAAATCAACCTGCGCACCTAAAGGCACCCAGATCCGACAGGTCACTGAGGTCAGCATGCAGCAGCTTGATGAACTTAAATGGAACGCCGAGGCGGTTGTGAACAGTGACTCGGCCGCTCGTTTCTCGGGGGTCTGGAATACCGGAATGAGCCAACGGCGAAGGTAGTCTGAAATACTGCGCACCAGCGAGCCAGCTCGGCCACCTATCGCATAGAAATGTCCGACACGAACACGCCGCTGACAAGCCCCTCAGGGCTACAGGGTCGTCTGCGCGCAGGGCGCGGAAAGCCAGGTCGCCCCGAGACATTGCGCAGGGCGCATGGCCACGACCCGCAAACTGGCCGCACAGAGCTTCCAAGCGTGCTGTGTTAGCTGGATCTGGAAAGTCTTCTTCGGCAGAATCGCTGGGCCCCCAGCCGGATGAAATACAACCGGCCCGGGCGCGCTCGCTCGCTCGCGACGCCGCGGCGCCGTCGGCCGAGGGGCCCGCAGAGCCTCCGGCCAAGAGCCCGAGCGGCACCGGAATCCCCTGCAGATCCCCCTGGGCCCACTCGCAGAACAGCGCGTCGCGCAGCCGCCGGGCCATCTCCGCCTTCGCGCGCCGCCTCGCCAAGGCCCTCGACAGCCAGCCCCCCCCCGACCCGTGCCCGAGAGCCCCCATCGGCTCGGTCGGGGGATCGGCGGGCGCCCCTCCGCGCCGCAGCCGGCAGGGGGCGGGGCGCGAGGGTGGCGAGGCCCGGGCGGGCACGCGAGCGCCGCAGCCGTCCTGGAGCTGCCGACGGCGAGCGGAGCCTCGACGGGCCGGGGCCGCTCCCGGGGCGCCCTGCGCCCCGCCGCCGCCTCCGCGGCGGGGCCCCGCCAGATCGATCGGCGAGTCCTATAATTGGGCGATCGCGGCGTCCGAGGCCCCCGCCCTGCGGGGCCATTCTCGGTGGGCCTGCGGCGCTGCCGGGACAGCTCACGGCGATCGCCGGGGCGCCGCCCGGCCGCGCTGGCCGCCCTGGGGCCAGGGCGCGCGACGAGGCCCGCCCCTCCCAGGCCACGCGCGCCGCCTGGCCCTCGGGCCGGCAGCCCAGGAGTGGAGGAGGAGAAGGAGGAGGAGGAGGAGGAGTTGGAGGAGAAGGAGGAGGAGGAGGAGGAGGAGGAGGCCAGGAGCATCGGCGCCAAGTCGTGGAAGCCCCGCGACTGGAAGACCGCCGCGGCGGCAGCCATTCGGGCTGGGCGAAAGGGCGGGATAGCAAAGGGAGAGGGGTTTGAGAATCCGCTCACGTAGCTGGTTTCCCCGGCGCCTCCCGGCGCCGGAGACGGCTATGTATCGAGGAATGGGCCCCTCGGTGGGGCCGAAACCAGCTGCATGCAGCAGATTTCGTAACCCCCCTTTCCCAATCCCCCCCTTTCGTCCGGCCCGAGCCATCACGACCCTCGGGATCGGCGCCCCCGACGGAGGGGAAAAGAGGCCTTCCCGGGGACCTTCGGCGCCGTCGTGGTCACCCGCGGCGCGGCAGTGACACTTGGTGCCATGGACGCGCGGTGCTTGACTGCGGCACCTGCCCCAGAGCTCCGACGTCGTGATTTTTCCATGCGCGGTCCCTGGAAGTCTCGACCCCTTCCCCGGGACCGGTGTTGCCTCCTGCGCCGCTCCTTGACGGCCCCGGGGCCCGGCGAGGGCCCCTGGAGGCCGAACATTGGGAGAAAAAACTCCGTCTTGATTTCTTCCATGCGTTGGCTCTCTGGGGCCCCCTCTGCGCCCGCGTGCTCGCCCGCCTCCTCCTTCCAGTGTCTCCCGGACTCTTCACTTGGCTCCCTCCTCTCCTCCGCCTGCAGCCTGGGCTCGCGCGTGCAGCTTGGGCCTGCAGCTTGGGCCGCGCGCACTGGGCCTGCAGCTTGGGCCGCGCGCCGCGGCATCGGCGAAGGCGGCTCGCCCGGTGCCCGGCGGCGGCCGGGAGGCGGGCCCCGGCCTCGCCGGCGACAACCCCGTGCGGGCAGCGCCTTCGCCGAGGCGGGCCCCGCGTGGCCCTGCGCCGCCGATGCCGTGGAGCGGCGGCCTCGCGCACCGAGGTTCGTCGGCGAGCGAGAGGGGGGGGAGTGAGGAGGAGAGGGCCTGCTCAGAAGGCGGCGGCGGGACTTCTCGGAAGCCCTCGCGCCTTCCGAGAAGCATATTTTGCCCTCAGGGAAGGCCTAGAGAACTTCTCAGCAGAAGGCCGGGGGACTTCCGAGCCTTCGGAGAAGGCCTTCTCCTTCTCACTTCCCCCCCTCGCTCGCCGCCGAGGCATCCCCTTCCCCACGAGGCCAGACGCTGAGGGGGTGCTGATCGCCTGACCACCGGCCTGCCATCGATCAGATTCTCCCCCTTGCGCTCGTGCCAGAGGCTTCTCCCAATGCTTGCAAGGTCGTCGGCGTCCATCTTGCCGACGACTTCCAGCACCGCTGGGATCCACACTCGTGGGTTCTTGGTGTTGTCGAACTGATCCGCTGGGTGGCACCCAGCTCTGCCCGGCGCGCTTGGCGGCCGCCGGCCCCTAGCCGCGGCCCGTCGGAGGCGCCCCGGCGCCCAGTGCTGGCGGCCGTCGAGAGGCCCCTGCCAGCCGCGTTCGGGCGCCCGACATCACGAAAATGGGCGACTAAAAGTCTTAGACAACCCCCTTACTCACGGAAGGGATCATCACGCAGACTCCCTTCATTCACGGAAGGGGTTGCTTGATAGCGCAGTAGGAGCACGACCACATGGAAGCTTCCACGGGAAACCCAAGCCTGAGACCCACGTCCACTGATTTTTGGTGTGGGAACGTCACGCTGTCCATAGCGAAACCCTAGAAACCCAGGGCACCCTGGAGGCAAGCAGGGTGCTTCTTGGCATGGGCGTCAACTGTACCATCGTTGCGGGGAGCACAGAAAAGGAGGCGCGGGGCTAGCCCAAGTGGGACGGGGGAAGAAATGGCAAAGATGAAGAGCAGGGAAGGATGGGGAACTGTTCGCCTATCTTAGCTCATGGAAATCCCCCGAAGCATCAAGCCAGTGCCTCCTCACTTGGCGACGGAGCGCGCCGAGGCTGCATGGGGGCGGGACCCGCGGCCAGTCCACGCGCCTCGATCCATGCGTCGCGCTTCCTCGAGATGCGAGTGGGCGATTCAGGGGCGACGTCCCCCCTCGGGCAGGCGGCGGTGGGGGCTGACCTGAATGGGTGGGGGGAGGGAGGAGGGAGGAGGGAGGAGGGAGGAGGGAGGAGGGAGGAGGGAGGAGGGAGGAGGGAGGGGCTGGGTGAGAAAAGAGCCCTCAAGGGCCCCTTCAGAGCCCCTTTTACGGAGCCAGGCGTCGCCCAGGAGAGGCCCTAAAAGGGCCCCATTAAGGGCTTCCTTCCTTCCACACCCATTCGGGTGACGCCCCATTGCCAACCGCCCGACCCCCCCGGGCTCCCAGAGATCCGATGTCTTGATTTGTTCAAAGAGGGGGGTCCAAGAAAGTCTCGACCGATTCCCCGCGGACGGCTTCTCGTCCCGAGTCGTTTTAAAACCGGTCCCAAGGCCTGGCCAGGGCCTCCGGACGCCGAAAGCGGCAACAACAAGAACCCCGTCGAGACTCTGTCTCTTCGCAACGGGAAGGGGTGGGAGACACCCCCTAGAAGTCCGCGCGGACCTTGGAGAGTTCTGCTTTTGAAGGCTTTTCTTCTTCGACTGTCGTTGCCTCTGAGCAGGGGTCATGAATCGACTGGACTCATATTGGGGTGCGTTCGGACAAGAATCTCGAGACGGACCTGGCCGCGGCCACGAGGGCACCCCAGGACGACCAGAACTGTCGAGAGAGCGAACCTCCAACCTCGATCCTCGAAACTCATCTTCGGAGGCAACTCATAAGAGCCTCCCATACCATCTTGTCGGCTGTTGCGAACCGACGCTAATCGACGCTAGTGGACGCGAATCGACGCTAAATCGACGCTCATCGACGCTGAATCGACGCTTAATCGGCGCTACCTCGTCGACCCCCAGACGCGAATCGACGCTCATCGACGCTGAAGACAGAACTACAAGGGTACACAAGGCTCTCATGATCTGCAACCGAACTGACCTCCCCTTTCGCACACCTACTCGACGGCGCGCAGAAGGGGCTGAGGGAAAGGAAGGGAAGCTTCTTGGAAGGCTGCTCCTTAGAAGGCACCAGCTTCACATCTACGGATAAGGCCCGCGCCTTCTGAGAAGCAGGGGCACCTCTACAGTGAGGGCGCGGCCTGCTGTGAAGCAGGGGCACCTCTACACTGAGAAACCCTCGCAAAAAAACCAAACCCTGAAAACCCGCGCGCGAGGTGCGCCTGAGGGGAGACCGGGAGCGCCCTGAACGCAGCTGCTCCTTCAACGGCTG